ATCACATGGATGGGGGGTGGGGAGACCTACCTGTCCTACAGGGAAGCTTTCCTTGAGAAAGATGTACTCTTGTAGTCATTGTTGAATTTGTATAACAGCTAGAGGTCCTTGGATTTACTTAAGGAAGGAATTGTTATGCAAATATGATGCAAATATTTGGGATAGTTGTTTGCAAAATGCAAGTAGTTAGGAAGGGATTTGGATGTGGATGAGAGGCACTTATTGAGGTGACTGGGAATAGAGAGGAAGGGAATCTGTGGAGATGGAGACACCTATGTGATTAGTGAGGAAATGTGGGCTGTAAAGTAGTCCTAACAGACTCTTCAGTGCAGCAGGTCTCACTGACAGAAAGAGGACAGGCGTGTGTCTTTCTTGCAGTGGTAACTTTTATTTGGCGCTGGGCTTCCAGGGACCCAGTATGTTTTGCTCTTGGCCTAGTCTTCTCATAGATTTGCTGTGAGCTGTACACTCTCAGTCAGAAACAGACCTGATGCAATATTTGGCAACATGATAGATTAGAAATATTTTGTGCTTTGGCCCTAGGTTTGAATTCTGCTTCCATAATTTGTGAGCTGGTAATTTCAGGACAGGAACTTATTTCTTAGATATGTGCATCTGGAAAATAATACTTTCACTACAGTTGTTATGAGGGTTAGAAATAATGTCTGTAAAGTAGCTAGCACACTATCTAGCTTATAAATGCTCATTAAAAGATACTTATTATTATTTAGGATATGAGTTGTGTTTGAGCCTATTCCAAATTTGGAATGAAAAGTAGACATGTGATGGTCACTCATTTCCAGTGTGTCACAACTGCAAAGAAGAGATTAAAAATATCAATAGCTAACACTTATTAGACACTTACTCTGGCCCATTTCCTGTACTAAGCACATGACTGTAGGAGATGAAGTCTCTATTCCCATTTTACAGATGAAGAGTCTGAGGCCCAGAGTGGCACAGTTAGGAAGTGGTGGTGCCCTGATTCAGAGCCCATGCCCTGAGCTCCAACACCCACTGCCACAGAGTAATAAGAAGTCTCCAGGCATTTCTGAAATGGGAAGGGGGTTATAAATATGGACTCAGCAACATAAAGACCAAAGGTATAAGAGATATCCTCCATCTCCCCTCCTTTGCGCTCCTCTACAGGTGCCTTTTTTGAGAAAGTAAAAATGCCCTCTCGTTTGGAGAGACATGATGGAATGCGTGCTCTAGAATTCTAAATTTAGGTCCTGGGCCTGGTATACTCTCACCCGGCTCCTTCATTGTACTAGCTGTTCTGTGCAAACGAAATGCACCAGCCCCATTTTTGAACTTCCGTTCTCTGTTAGCTGAGACCTGTGGCAATGCCTTCCTCTTTTCATTCTAGCTTATTGTCAACAGCACTAACCACAAGTCCTTCCTGCCCCAGAAACGAGTCTTGCCACACTCTAAGCTCTCACAGAGTTGTGAACACTACATTCTGTTCTGTGTAGGGCTCTGTCACCTCCACCCCGCCAGGGTTAGCTCTTTGGGGTTAAAGTGTTGATTGAATTCTCAGAGGATGATTTGAAAAGAAATAAAGGAGCACAGGAACAAGATAAACGATTGATCTGTAATATAAACAAGCATTGCGTTACACCTAAATTGTTGCAAGAAGATTTTGTGCTCAATATTTTATTTAGCAGAACATGGTTTATAACAATAAGGTTGATTAGCGAAACCTCTGAAAGTGTTTCAAGGTACATGGTTTGATTGTTTATCTCACGGAGAGAAAAAAAAATAGAGTGGTAAAATAGGGCGATTGGAAGAAGTAGAAATTAAAGCCAGGTATTAGGGAAGAGTATTTGCCATCATTTTGAATACTTTGTTGTTATAACTCCAAGACTACATTGAAATGACACCTGCCAATTGCAGTGAAGTTTTAGTTTATGTGGGCCCTTTTTGATCTTTCTGCCTCTTGGGCCAGGGGCCGGAGGACGATCATGGACCTGACTCTGTAGATATTTTGTCTTCCAGGTGTGCAGTTATTTAGGCACATTTTATTTTCACGGGCTGAGATGCTAAACCAAGAGCACAGGACTGCAAATGCATGCTGCTCAGGGCATTCAGCCCTGCCTCTTGGCAGAGTAGGTGGGTCTAGGGAGCATTCAGAGGAGGGAAGACAAAGAGGATATGTGATTTTGCTTTATGATTTACTGAAGGTCAAATGGGGGGAATCCCAATTAAAAAACGCACACCCTCATTATCATGTTTCATGATGGTGACTAGAATTGCAGGCTCTCTTCCAAATGGGGGCTTTTTAAGTCTTAAGGAAGATGGATATGTACAGGCTTATGTTCTTGCTTTTTGTATCATCCCCAAATATTTACTGAAGCTGGGAGAAGAAAAGGCAGACTTCCCTCTTCTCTCTTCCAAACGTGTGATTGTTTAGAACTCAAGTGCAACATCTGGAAGTCAGACACACAGAGAGCAATTTATGGAGTGTGAAAGATTTGAAATATTCAGTGTCCTTTAGCGGGAACTCAACTTTCTGCGGCTGCATTTTTATTTTTTTTTCCCGGCACAAAGCCGGCAGTTCTGAGATCGCCTCTGCCTCTCTGAATTAAACCCTTTGTGCCTGGGTCCCCTAAACAATGTGCTTTTTAAATGGGAGCCCCCTCCCTGCCCTGGCCCTTTTCTCCAGCGTGAGCAGCCAATCGGCTGCAGCCAGCCGCATTGCTGGAGCACTTTCCATTCTGAGCAGCAACAACGTACTAATTTGATGCACACATGGATGCCTCGCGCACTCTGCAAATTCATCCTCAGCATCTTGCATTAGTCATCTGAAGGACTGCCAAGTGTTTCATTTTCTTTTCATGTGACTTTATCATTATCACCTCTCTTCTCCTCCCCCCAAAAAAAATCTCCAAAGAGGGGAGGGGAAGGGGAGCAATCCAGCAGAAATCCAGCCCTGCCTTTCTTTTCACTCGAGAGCCAGTGTGAGGCTGATAAGGCTGCAGATGCATTGATGGCAGCCTTGCAGAACGAGACCTGCACTTAACTTGCAGCTGCCTCCGAGCTGGGTTTCAAGATGTCCACGCCCCGGGTGACAGCCGGCGGGGCGCTGCCCTGGGCTCGGGCTGGGTGCTGAGCAGCAGCAGCCTGCAGTGCGAGCCCGCCGCCCTGCCACGGAGGAGCATCCTAATGGTGCCTGTGCTTTGTTTTAGTTCATCAAATTTCTACGACTCATTAGGCACTTTGCCCCACGCTCCTCTTCCTCCTCCTTCCGCCTCCCCGCCCCCACCCCGCTATTTTTTTTCTTCCTGTCCCTCACCGTGCAGCCCTAACTCTGGCTCCCGGTTCCCTTTTTGACAGTAACGGCACAGCCAACAAGATGAACGGCGCTTTGGATCACTCCGACCAGCCAGACCCAGATGCCATTAAGATGTTTGTCGGGCAGATCCCCAGGTCTTGGTCGGAAAAGGAGCTGAAAGAACTTTTTGAGCCTTACGGAGCTGTCTACCAGATCAACGTCCTCCGGGACCGGAGTCAGAACCCTCCCCAGAGTAAAGGTACAGTCCGCGGGGTGTGCGCGGTTGGGGGCCTTCCTGGGTGTCCTGGGCATCGCCGCGGGAGGGAGAACTGCGAGCGGGAGCCGCCTGCTGCCCCGGTGCCCGAGGCCAGCCCGGCTCCTCCCCGTGCCCCCGCCCGCCCGCCTCCCGGGCAGGTGGACGGAGCGGGCCTGGGACGCAGGAAAGGAGGAGCGGAGGGAGGGGCGCGGTCGCGCCGCTGTCCAGGCGCGTGATTGCTCTCCCGAGGTCACTTTCTAGGCAGCGCAGGCTCCTCTTCCCCGGTGGAGTGCCTGCCTCTCTAAGGAATCGTGTTTCTAGTCTTGCATTTCAGGAGTAACTCTTTCTGCCCCTACCTTCCCATTATAGCTCATGTAATTACAATTGCATTTCACTTTTCTGTAGCCCGTGGGGATCCTGAGATGCCTTATAAACAGTTGGTGTGATCCCACTGGTCTAAGGAATAAAGGGTACACTTTTAGGAGGGATATCAATTATTGGGGTCTAGATGGACATCTTTAGGTGAAGTGTGGCTTCGGGGGCGGGAAGTAACGCCCTAGTGGCCTGAGATAGTTAGCACACCTTCCAAATGCTTGTGGTTTACGCCCTTATCAGTGCAAAGACTCACGTGTACGATCTGGTGGTTTCTCCTGCCTCCATTTTAAGATGAGGGTGATGTTGGGAGGGTGGGGGGACAGTTATTAAAATAGAGAGAAGCCAGAAGCCTCTGCACCACATTGAAGCTTCAGTGTATGAGAGTCGTCCTTTGCAAGCTCTGTGCAGACTGAATTTAACTCCTCTGCTGCCACTTGCTCTCTGTTGATATGTTAACCTTGCTTTAGTAATTTTGTTCTTTCTCTGTTCTTGATCTCTTGGTCTTTCTGCCCAGGGCTCCTCTGTCTTTCTGTGGGTCCACACTTCCTTTTTCTCTATATCTTCCTATCTCTGTCCGGCCTGTTATTTTATTTCTTTGTAGCCTCTCACAAGAGCTCCTGCAAGCTCATTAGGGAGCACATAAACATGAGCACACACTTGTCTCTGAGCCTCTTTCTTACTGTCAAGGTGAAGGGATGGGACTAAGTAACAATTAAAACCCTGATGGTCATGACTCTGAGAAAGGGGTCATCTCTTGTGCCCTATAGTTGCAGAGGTCTGATAGGATTTTTAGAACCTTTTAAGAAATGTAAAAGCCTAATACGTATTTTATAAAGGTGAGCAAACATACCTTCCGATTCTCTTCATAAGGCTCTCATTTTCTATCTCAAAATATAATCATGTACAGTAACACCAAGAGTACTTTCAAAAGAACATACATAAAATTTTGTCGCCACACACTTGGTTGTCCCTAAACTTGAAAAATAGGACCTTAGGTATATAAAACAGAAGGATTAAACCCATCACAAATTAGGGCAACGTTGAAAGAGCCTTTCTGAGTCATATTCCTAAACTGTTTACGTACATGTTTCCCAAATAGAAAATACTAGAATATGGTTTTTGATACTTAACCCCTACAGTATCCTACTTAGGAAAGACAGTATAATGCCCTGGCCTGGACTTAGCAAATGAAGGCCCCCCTACCGTGCAGAATGACACCCACAGGAAACTAGGCCAGAGGCAGGAAACTAGTGCTTCAGAGCAACAGCCACCCTTCATCCTTGGCTAGGAAAATGTGCCTCCAAATTTTAGTGAATTCCGCATTTTTCAACATGTCCTCTGGTAGAATGCTCAAAGCTGATTTCTTGCTGTGATGCCTGGTTACTTGCATTTTATCTTTGTATTCTATATGTGTTACTTTAGGCAGAAAGACCTTTCTCTCAGTCGAGTGAGTACTTGTACATGGCCTAGTTCTTCTACCATATTCTCTCTTTTTTCCTGATGTTCCTCAGAGCAGTCTCTTCATCAGGGTATGTTTGAGACTATACACTTCATTAACTTCTTTCACTGGGTTTTGTAACTAACTTCATTAAAATAGTTTGCATAAGCCCACGGTCTTAGAGGAAAAGGGACACGTGGTTCGGGCTTTTTGAGCCCATGCTCTGTACCAAGTCCTATGTGAGAAGTTTTACATGTGTTCTCCTCTGTAGTTCTTACTGAAATCCTGAAAGTAGGTGATATTAGCCACATTTCGCAGAGGAGGCTCAGAAAAACAGTTAAGAAATGTTAGCCCACTTTGCACAGCTAGAAAGAGGTAGAGTAGAAATTTGAGGACAGTCCATCCGTCTTCATGTGCTACGTACACCAGCTTGCTTCTCCGTGAGGTCAGGCCACACACCAGCCTTGCTCTGCCCCATTTCAGGGTTGGGTGAGAGGCCTTCTCCTTGACCACAGTGTTCCCCAGGTGAACAAAAGGGAATTTTGCCCTTTACGAGCAGGGTTGATTTGTCTCTGTCTTGGTGTTCAGTTTTTATGCTCCTGGGTTTAGATTGTACATCACGCCAACTCATGGTACCATGGGATAGAAGCTACAGAAGAAATCATTCAAATCTTACCTTTGGAAAGATAGGTCAATTTCCATTACTGTGAACTCCAAGTCTCACATCAAATATTGCTAGAAGTACGTGGGCTGTCAGCCAAAGCCTGAAAGGGTTTTTGTTATACAGACATCTCTGTTGTAACGGTATTTGTTGTGATGGGATTTGAGCTGTATAATGACATTCCTCTTGGAGGATTACAGGCCTTAGCCGCTTACGTGTAGAGAGCAACAATCACCGTTTTACTTTACACTGATACCTGTGTGTGTCATATGTCATTTACCTGTGTGTGTATAAAATAGGACCCCACATTTACATTTGTCCTGACTATACCGGCAGAGTACAATTATCATGTTTTCTCATGGCTGATATCAGAGTTTCAGAAATTAGAATTTTGAAGGCATTCTCTAAATGTGGTTTAAATGATCTAAGTGAGGCTTTTGGAGTGGCCTTGATTCATTGCCTTACTGACATCAGTGATTCCAAGGAAGGAGACCAGGTCAAGGTATTACCTAATCCAGGTGATACAGATGTTTCTCCCACATTGCATCTGATATTCTGTTTAGTCTTGAGGCATAAAAACTTTGTTCCATTTTTTGAAATCATCCTTTAAGAGTTAGGTCCTAAGATGTCTGTTTCTTCTCCCTATAATTGTATTTGTTGATCATGTAGGCTCAGCCACTTAGGGGAACCTGGCTAAGTCAACGATCCCACCTATTAGGACTTATGGAGTGGATATCTTATTCCATGGTTATTGGTCAAGTATAAAGATGATGAGAAACACTGCATAGTAGTTAAGAGCATGGCTTTTAAAGTCAGACAAGCGTAACTTCAATTCCTGGCTCTACCACTCCTGAGTGTTGGCCTTGGGCACATTATTTAATCACATCTGAAAGTGGTGAGAGTCCTCAGAGGGCTGCTGAAATGGAGTCATGCTTTCACAGAGCTGGAATATGGTAGGAGCTTATGATGGTGGTGGTGATTATTACTACAATTATTATCATCATCATCATCATCATCACTGTCCTCAAGAACTTGAAATCTAATAGGGACAAGGAGGCCTGCCAGTACACAGGTAACTAGAACCTAAAAGAATATGAAATAAGAGGAAGTAAGAAAGATATGAGCATATTTGAACTCTGGAAGTTCAGGGGAGGAATGAATAACTTAAAACTACGTTTAGGAAAAGATGGCATCTCTACCACATCTTGAATGAAAAAAAAAGATTTCAGTTAAAGAAAAAGATTTCAATAAGTAAAAACAATGTTGGACATTACACATGTATATTCTAGCTTGATTCAGGAATGTAGGTAAGAAAATGCGGGGTGGCTTCTGGGAACTATGAATTCTCCCAGAGTCCAGAGGAAATGTGAAATACATGAACTGAAATGGAAGACGGGAAGGTCATGGTGTCTAGAAATATAAGCTCGGTCCAGTTCTTAGAGGGCCTTAATTCTCAGGCTAAGATATTTAAATTTTATTTGCTATATTTCACGAGTCTGTGAAAGGGGAGAGGCTGGGAGATTGGTGCAGTGTGTTATCTGAAGTACATGGCGTTAAACAGGGAGGCTGTTTATCTGTCATGGCAACAGAGAGGGCGGAATTGAATGGCACAGACATGACTGGGTGGAAGGAAGAAAAACTTGATAACTAAATTGAGGCAATGATGACCAAGAGATTTTGGCTTAACTGGGAAAAATGGAAAAGCAGTCAGCAATGGTGGGAACAGGGAAGGAGAGGACTGCTCAGTTCAGTTTTGATTATGTTGAGTGTAGGTGCCACAGGAAAGTCAAGAAGGATGCAGGCCAAGAAAAGCCACTGGACTTGGTGGTTGAGAGGACTTGAGAGCGCTCCAGAAGGGTGGAGGTCGGGCTTGGAGGAGGATTGCTAGGTTTACGTGCAGGCCTGTGAGTGGAGTCTGCCCTTTCTGGGAGTCTGGTTGTGAAAGAAAGGGAGCTTAGATACAGCTTGTTTTTTAAACAAGAGATAAGAAGGCAGAGCAAAAAGTGATAGTGAAAGTGTAAGGATGATAGGAATCAGGGTCCTTATTGAGACCAGAGAAGTGGCTGAAGAGCACATGCGAAAGGGCGGAAAGAACCGACATTTGAGACAGCAGGGCAGTTAGGAGGAAGTAACAGAGAACTTCAGACTAATGGGGGCGGGAAATAGACACTCAGTACAGATGCCTTCAGTCTTCTCAGCAGATAGCACATTGCTAAGAAGGTCGGGTGGAGTTGAAGACTTAAGAAGAATGGGAATGGTTTAAAATGACAGCTTTGGGAAAAGCTGATAGGGGAAAGAGCAACAGGACGGACCCACTTATACCCGGGTGGTGTGGATTTGGAGTGGGCCTTAGTAGTGTGGCTCTGTGCCTGTCCCTCAGTGGGTGAGCAGAGAAACAGAATCATAGGGAACCTGAGTTGGAGATGTGGTGGAAGGTCAGGAAGGGTGCTGAAAGCATTAGAATGTTCTCTGAAGTCTAAGGTAGGGAAGCTGGTGAAGACAGAAGGTAGCTCCCGGCCTGGAGAAGAA